GTTTTGTCATTGTTTTGGAGCACAAAGCTTAAAGATAACAGTAAGGCTAACATATTCATACTAAAAGCCAAAAAACTTCAATTTTGATTTCATGGGGACTTTAAGTGTGTCCTCAGTACAATATGTACCCATTACTGAATACACACCCATAGAGAACAGCACGTGAGTTTTTTGAGTAGTATATGAGGTGGTTGTGGATGCAGATCATTTGGGAGTTAAACAGGTTTGTTTCTGACATCATTACAGACATAAACTGCTAGAGGGGGAGACACTTCGAAAACACATAAATCAATTCGGATGACAAGGGACAGGTGTGAATGACAAACTCCCACAGTTACGAGGACATTCCAGTGTGTTCGCCTCATTGCACTGGGCTGAACGAATCACTATAACTCGTGGGAGGTGGAGAACATAGTGGCTTTCCCTGCTTTATATTCACACCATCCAGGCACAAAACCTTTTACTCTAATGCCTGCGGTATCTATTTACACAATATTGCTTCGGTCCGGGTGGGTTGGGCCTCACAATGATACCCTTGTCCCTGTTTTAGAGTTTGCAGGAGCAGAAAGAGGGAAGACTCATGTGAAAGTCATTTTCAGCTTCTCCTTTTCTCGAAAGACCACATGTGGGTGGTCTATACGGTGGCCATAGATACCCATTCATTGGGCAAAATGAAGGCTATACATATATACTGTATATATATATATATATATACATATATATATATATGTATATATATATATATATATATATATATATATATATATATATATATATATATGTGTGTGTGTATAGCCTTCATTTTGCCTATATAAATTAATGGGTATCTATATATATATATATATATATACAGGTCCTTCTAAAAAAATTAGCATATTGTGATAAAGTTAATTATTTTCCATAATGTAATGATAAAAATTTAACTTTCATATATTTTAGATTCATTGCACACCAACTGAAATATTTCAGGTCTTTTATTGTTTTAATACTGATGATTTTGGCATACAGCTCATGAAAACCCAAAATTCCTGTCTCAAAAATTTAGCATATTTCATCCGACCAATAAAAGAAGTGTTTTTAATACAAAAAAAAAGAGTCAACCTTCAAATAATTATGTTCAGTTATGCACTCAATAGTCAATACTTGGTCGGGAATCCTTTTGCAGAAATGACTGCTTCAATGCGGCCTGGCATGGAGGCAATCAGCCTGTGGCACTGCTGAGGTGTTATGGAGGCCCAGGATGCTTCGATAGCGGCCTTAAGCTCATCCAGAATGTTGGGTCTTGCGTCTCTCAACTTTCTCTTCACAATATCCCACAGATTCTCTATGGGGTTCAGGTCAGGAGAGTTGGCAGGCCAATTGAGCACAGTAATACCATGGTCAGTAAACCATTTACCAGTGGTTTTGGCACTGTGAGCAGGTGCCAGGTCGTGCTGAAAAATGAAATCTTCATCTCCATAAGGCTTTTCAGCAGATGGAAGCATGAAGTGCTAAAATCTCCTGATAGCTAGCTGCATTGACCCTGCCCTTGATAAAACACAGTGCACCAACACCAGCATCTGACATGGCACCCCAGACCATCACTGACTGTGGGTACTTGACACTGGACTTCAGGCATTTTGGCATTTCCTTCTCCCCAGTCTTCCTCCAGACTCTGGCACCTTGATTTCCGAATGACATGCAAAACTGAGCAACAGTCCAGTGCTGCTTCTCTGTAGCCCAGGTCAGGCGCTTCTGCCGCTGTTTCTGGTTCAAAAGTGGCTTGACCTGGGGAATGCGGCACCTGTAGCCCATTTCCTGCACACGCCTGTGCACGGTGGCTCTGGATGTTTCTACTCCAGACTCAGTCCACTGCTTCCGCAGGTCCCCCAAGTTCTGGAATCGGTCCTTCTCCACAATCTTCCTCAGGGTCCGGTCACCTCTTCTCGTTGTGCAGCGTTTTTTGCCACACTTTTTCCTTCCCACAGACTTCCCACTGAGGTGCCTTGATACAGCACTCTGGGAACAGCCTATTTGTTCAGAAATTTCTTTCTGTCTTACCCTCTTGCTTGAGGGTGTCAATGATGGCCTTCTGGACAGCAGTCAGGTCGGCAGTCTTACCCATGATTGCGGTTTTGAGTAATGAAACAGGCTGGGAGTTTTTAAAAGCCTCAGGAATCTTTTGCAGGTGTTTAGAGTTAATTAGTTGATTCAGATGATTAGGTTAATAGCTCGTTTAGAGACCCTTTTCATGATATGCTAATTTTTTGAGACAGGAATTTTGGGTTTTCATGAGCTGTATGCCAAAATCATCAGTATTAAAACAATAAAAGACCTGAAATATTTCAGTTGGTGTGCAATGAATCTAAAATATATGAAAGTTAAATTTTTATAATTACATTATGGAAAATAATTAACTTTATCACAATATGCTAATTTTTTTAGAAGGACCTGTATATCCAGATGTATTAGATGCTTATCTTCAGTTTGTCCATTGAAATAAATGAATGGGTAGCTATGGTGACCATGCTTTGTTTGCTCTCATGCTAAAACACTCTCCCAGTAAACGAGGTGTTGTCGACTTTTGGCCTTTCTAAGAACTCGCTTACATAATCAGAGGTGACGGTTTATACAGTAGGAATGTCAGTAGTGACATCAGTCCTGAAGACTAGTGGCTCCTGAGCAGAACCTGTCATTCCTCTAAGAATGAATCACATCATATAGTGAATCCCATCTGTATACGATTTACAAGGGCCTACTCCTTCTGATCAAATGCATAATCACCACATCATTCTTAATCACAATGTTACTTCGACAACTTAAAAAATGGGTTTGGCTTTATTTACACTTTGTATATGTTATTTTTTATCGTTGAATACAACCATATTGAAACCAAATAAAAGCATGCCGAAGATTGGTGCGTAAACGGTAGCATAAGTATAGGTTAAAAAAAAAAAAACGCACGAGGAGAAGCGTTAGAATGTTACAACATCAGCAATCACAGACATTCACATTCAGACGGATTAGATTTCTCAGAGGACCGTTGAGTTTGCCGAAAACATTAGGTAATTTCCCCTTGAATTTTCTGTGGGAAAAACACTGACATGTCAGATTTGGACGAGATTAAAAGTAGGCCTACGTCTGTGAAACGTCCGCTGTTTTAACTAAAAGCACCATATCTTAAAATATGTCACTGCCATTGTTTTGTCTCAAGATGCACACAAGTAACGCTTTTTTTCCCCCCTAAGGCACGTTTATAAAAGCTACTTAAAGGGATACTCCACTTTTTTTGGAAATAGGCTCATTTTACAACTCCCCCAGAGTTAAACTGTTGAGTTTTTACCGTTTTTGAATCCATTCAGCCGATCTCCGGTTCTGGCGGTACCACTTTTAGCATAGCTTAGCATACATCATTGAAGTGGACAAGACCATTAGCATTTCTAAAGAAAAATGACCAAAGAGTTTTGATATTTTTCCTATTTAAAACTTGACTCTTCTGTAGTTACATCGTGCACTAAGACCGACGGAAAATGTAAAGTTGCGATTTTCTAGGCTGGTATGGCTAGGAACTATACTCTCATTCCTGCGTAATAATCAAGAAACTTCAATGCCGTACCATGAGAGCAGCAGGCGTAATGATATGACGCAGCGCCTGAAAATAGGCCACCTTCCGTCAACACAACGGAACTATTTTCAGGCGCTGCGTCATATCATTACGCCTGCTGCTCTCATGGTACGGCATTGAAGTTTCTTGATTATTACGCAGGAAGGAGAGTATAGTTCCTAGCCATACCAGTCTAGAAAATCGCAACTTTACATTTTCCGTCGGTCTTAGTGCACGATGTAACTACAGAAGAGTCAAGTTTTAAATAGGAAAAATATCAAAACTCTTTGGTCATTTTTCTTTAGAAATGCTAATGGTCTTGTCCACTTCAATGATGTATGCTAAGCTATGCTAAAAGTGGTACCGCCAGAACCGGAGATCGGCTGAATGGATTCAAAAACATTAAAACTCAACAGTTTAACTCTGGGGGAGTTGTAAAATGAGCCTATTTCCAAAAAAAGTGGAGTATCCCTTTAAATGCCCTTATTGAACTAAGGTCATGGCTTAATCCTATCCCTGTCTGTGAAACCAGGCTTTAGGGTATCTGGTTTTAACAGTAGGCTACTTAAGTATCTTACTCGTACTGAATGTAGGCTCAAATATGCACTAGTCCTCAACACCTAAGAGACATGTCAGTGAAAAACAAGAAACAGTTGATTTGTGAGGAATCAAAATAAAACAGAACACCTCAATATTGCAATAAATCAAGGTCGACATAACAAGCTCTTAAACGTCTACAAACACTCAAGTCTCACTCAGTCAAGCTCAAGTGCTTAAAAAGGGCATAAGTAAACCAATATCCTTCAAAAAGTTCTCTTCAATAATAAATAAATAAAATAATGTTATAAAGTGAAATAGTCTAAGCTTACTTGTACTGGACATGCTGGTTTTGGCTGCAGCCATGTCCTCATCTCAAATATGTGCACCTGCTAATGCACTCATATTTATGGAAGCTTGTTTCCGCCACAGAATAAAACATTTTAAAAGATAATTGCGACTTTTTATCTCACAATTGCGAGTTTACATCTCGCAATTCTGACTTTATTTCTAATTGCAAGATATAGTCAGAATTGCGTGATATAAACTCACAATTGCGTGTTATAAAGTCAGAATTGCGCGATATAAACTCACAGTTGCAAGAAATAAATTTGCAATTCTGACTTTTTCTTGCAATTGCGAGTTTATATCACGCAATTGTGAGTTAATATGTCGCAATTCTGACTTTATAACACGCAATTGCGAGTTTAAATCTAAAGAATTGCATGATATAAAGTCTCAATTGCGTGTTATAAAGTCAAAATTGTGAGATATAAATGTGCAATTCTGAAAAAAGTTTTTTTCCTGCAATTGCCTTTTTTTATTTTTTTTATTCTGTGGCGGAAACAAGCTTCCATACATACACTCACCTAAAGGATTATTAGGAACACCTGTTCAATTTCTCATTAATGCAATTATCTAATTAAGCAATCACATGGCAGTTGCTTCAATGCATTTAGGGGTGTGGTCCTGGTCAAGACAATCTCCTGAACACCAAACTGAATGTCAGAATGGGAAAGAAAGGTGATTTAAGCAATTTTGAGCGTGGCATGGTTGTTGGTGCCAGACGGGCCGGTCTGAGTATTTCACAATCTGCTCAGTTACTGGGATTTTCACGCACAACCATTTCTAGGGTTTACAAAGAATGGTGTGAAAAAGGAAAAACATCCAGTATGCGGCAGTCCTGTGGGCGAAAATGCCTTGTTGATGCTAGAGGTCAGAGGAGAATGGGCCGACTGATTCAAGCTGATAGAAGAGCAACTTTGACTGAAATAACCACTCGTTACAACCGAGGTATACAGCAAAGCATTTGTGAAGCCATACACGCACAACCTTGAGGCGGATGGGCAACAGCAGAAGACCCCACCGGGTACTCATCTCCACTACAAATAGGAAAAAGAGGCTACAATTTGCAAGAGCTCACCAAAATAGGACAGTTGAAGACTGGAAAAATGTTGCCTGGTCTGATGAGTCTCGATTTCTGTTAAGACATTCAGATGGTAGAGTCAGAATTTGGCGTAAACAGAATGAGAACATGGAACCATCATGCCTTGTTACCACTGTGCAGGCTGCTGGTGGTGGTGTAATGGTGTGGGGGATGTTTTCTTGGCACACTTTAGGCCCCTTAGTGCCAATTGGGCATCGTTTAAATGCCACGGCCCACCTGAGCATTGTTTCTGACCATGTCCATCCCTTTATGGCCACCATGTACCCATTCTGTGATGGATACTTCCAGCAGGATAATGCACCATGTCACAAAGCTGGAATCATTTCAAATTGGTTTCTTGAACATGACAATGAGTTCACTGTACTAAAATGGCCTTCACAGTCACCAGATCTCAACCCAATAGAGCATCTTTGGGATGTGGTGGAACGGGAGCTTCGTGCCCTGGATGTGCATCCCACAAATCTCCATCAACTGCAAGATGCTATCCTATCAATATGGGCCAACATTTCTAAAGAATGCTTTCAGCACCTTGTTGAATCAATGCCACGTAGAATTAAGGCAGTTCTGAAGGCGAAAGGGGGTCAAACCAGTATTAGTATGGTGTTCCTAATAATCCTTTAGGTGAGTGTATTTGTGTAAAGTAGCCTTGTTGACAAGTTTGGGTGAGTAAGGGTAAAATGATGTAGTACCTTCAATGCCCTGTAGATGGCCATATCACTTTTTTGTAGCAGAAATAAACTGCTGCAGAATAAAGGTGCCATGCAAAATGTTACGAGGCTCATTACAAATGTATTGGAGTAAAGAGTATATTTACAGCACTTGCTCAAAAATGTAGTCAAGTAGAGAGTAAAAGTTGCTAATAGCCTATCTTAGTGAAACCACAAAGTAGCCAGTAACTAAATACATTTACTCAAATACTTTAAACCACTTATCACAAGCCCCTAGAGAGCAACCCTGTCTGTGCACTTCACTAACAGGCTTGAATACTGGACCTTTGTAAAGGGATTCTATTACTGTACGTACAGCGTTTCCATTGGATCGTTCTCTTGCAGGAGACTTGAGAGGACCTAGAAATGTTCCCACCTTTCTCCCCATTATCTACATATAAGATATAAGATAAGGTATAAGAGGCTGCTAGTGTGCATGTTCACATGTGTGGGGTTGTAGGTTGTTCACAGATAGAACAGGGTTTCCCAAAAGCATCATAAGCCTAAGTTGATCATAGAACAATTGCCACCAATCAGTCTCTATGATCGGCTTATGATGATTTTCATCATAGAAACACAGCCCAGGTTAGCTTCTTACATCATTAAAAGTGCAAACTGGAGACACTGAACTACAAGGGACAGGTTTGTATGACAAACTCTCACGCCTACAGCATTCCAGTCCTGGGCTGGACAAATCACACCAAAACTTGAAATCACAAATTCAAGTCTGGAGTTGAGATGGAGAACAGAGAGAGGTGTTCACCGCCACACACTTTTGCAACTCTGTTCACGAAACCTCTAATTCTCCTGCTTGTGGAATTTAGTTTCTCAATATTGCCTCAGCACAGAACATGGAAAGAATGTGATGGAGGGAAGACTCATTTCAGAAGTATTCTCAAGACATCCATTGCTTAAGAGAACCATATTATGCAGGCCTTATTGAATGTATGGCAGGAGTGCCAACTCTCACGCATTCATTCAGAGCGAGACTCACGCAATTGACACTGTTCTCACGCTCTCACGTCACACATCCATTTTCTCGCAGTGGAAAATTGCAAAGCAAAGACGCCGACAGACAAGACAGCAGGTTACTTTGATATGAAACTGTCTCGGCTTTCAAATTCTGTAAATTTTATTACGAAATTCAAACAATTAATACTCTTAAATGTGACGTGACAGATCGCTGTAGCTCCTCAGTTCAAGCGGCATGCGAACTGATCATGTTTCATGTAATCGCTCAATCAGTGTTTCAACCGCAAGAGGTCAATAATACAGCTTGTAAACTCACGTAACGTTACATTTAGCCTACCTCAGGAAAGCCATTTAAGTTAGTTAGAAAAATGACTGTTTTTTTTTTAAATTGCTTACACACTAAAAGTAATATTTGAGTTGAAGCCAACTCAGTGAAACCATTCACTCATATACCTAATCTTCAGACCAAATCTGTAAAACGGCAAGCATATTATATGCTTTACACTCAGTTAGCATTTGTAAAACAAAGTTTTTGCAAAATTGTTTTTGTTGTTTAACACAGTTTTGTACATTAGACACATCATTCAAAACTAACAGCTCTTGTGTTTCATTTAGAAAAATGTGTTTTTGCCACAATAATTTCCCTGTTACCTACACCCAATGATCATGCGTGAAAACACTTGATCACTTAGAAATCAATTGATCACTTAGAAATCAAAACTCAATGTTTTCAGAAAGAAAGAAACCCTTCTGTTAGGTAGAAGCAAACTGTGGTTTCTTGATTTACTTTATTCGGACATGATTGAGACAAACACACACTGACTGACTGACCAAAGTGTTTGGAAACATTTAGGTTTCAAAAGCATATAAATGTTATTCCTGCAAGAATTTTATTTTATGATCAATTTAAAAAATCCATCACAATGGATTGTAAAGCTGTAAAGCAGCTCTAACAAGCCAACAAGTCTCTATTCAGCTCAATTCAGTTCAGTGTTGATTCAGTTCAGTTCAGTAACTGTAAAGTTCATCAGTTGTGCATACATGTATATACAGTGTATTTATGCACATACGTGTGGGTGCTATGACAAGCTCCTGTACACTCCACTGCACAAGCAAAAGACACAACAGTTGATTACTTTCAATTTACAGTAATATAATTTTTTTTCTATTCTACCCCTAACAACATTCTTTCAACTTATAAACTCTACTCTCATCCCTTGGGCAATGAATGCATTAGAATGTAGTTCCAGAAACAACAAAGATGTTGATCCAGCAAGATCTTTTACTGACTGTTTCCTGCACGGCTAATTAAACTTGCACTCGCAAACTTGTTTTGAAATCACTTTGAATCAGTGTAACGATTCTTTACACGATAAACATTTGACTGAATAAACATTCACAAAGAGAATATACACTCACCGGCCACTTTATTAGGTACCCCATGCTAGTAACGGGTTGGACCCCCTTTTGCCTTCAGAACTGCCTCAATTCTTCGTGGCATAGATTCAACAAGGTGCTGGAAGCATTCCTCAGGGAGTTTGGTCCATATTGACATGATGGCATCACACAGTTGCCGCAGATTTGTCGGCTGCACATCCATGATGCGAATCTCCCGTTCCACCACATCCCAAAGATGCTCTATTGGGTTGAGATCTGGTGACTGTGGAGGCCATTTTAGTACAGTGAACTCATTGTCATGTTCAAGAAACCAATTTGAAATGATTAGAGCTTTGTGACATGGTGGAAGTAGCCATCAGAGGATGGGTACATGGTGGCCATAAAGGGATGGACATGGTCAGAAACAATGCTCAGGTAGGCCGTGGCATTTAAACGATGCCCAATTGGCACTAAGGGGCCTAAAGTGTGCCAGGAAAACACCCCCCACACCATTACACCACCACCACCAGCCTGCACAGTGGTAACAAGGCATGATGGTTCCATGTTCTCATTCTGTTTACGCCAAATTCTGACTCTAACATCTGAATGTCTCAACAGAAATCGAGACTCATCAGACCAGGCAACATTTTTCCAGTCTTCAACTGTTCAATTTTGGTGAGCTCTTGCAAATTGTAGCCTCTTTTTCCTATTTGTAGTGGAGATGAGTGGTACCTGGTGGAGTCTTCTGCTGTTGTAGCCCATCCGCCTCAAGGTTGTGCGTGTTGTGGCTTCACAAATGCTTTGCTGCATACCTCGGTTGTAACGAGTGGTTATTTCAGTCACTGTTGCCCTTCTATCAGCTCGAACCAGTCTGGCCATTCTCCTCTGACCTCTGGCATCAACAAGGCATTTCCGCCCACAGAACTGCCACTCACTGGATGTTTTTTCTTTTTCGGACCATTCTCTGTAAACCCTAGAGATGGTTGTGCGTGAAAATCCCAGTAGATTAGCAGTTTCTGAAATACTCAGACCAGCCCTTCTGGCACCAACAATCATGCCACGTTCAAAGTCACTCAAATCACCTTTCTTCCCCATACTGATGCTCGGTTTGAACTGCAGGAGATTGTCTTGACCATGTCTACATGCCTAAATGCACTGAGTTGCCGCCATGTGATTGGCTGCTTAGAAATTAAGTGTTAACGAGCAGTTGGACAGGTGTACCTAATAAAGTGGCCGGTGAGTGTATATATATATATATATTCACATTATTATTGTTTTTACTGTTTACGGTTTAACCTAACAGTCGACTAAAACTCTAATAAGAGTTAGTTGGCATGTAGTCGCAAATAAATAGAATTAGCTGACACGTTACTTATAGTTAGTGGAAGCCTAAAGTGGAGTATCGAAATAAAGTGTAACCTAATATATTATTATTTAACTGACATTGATAACCTGTCAGGAGACAGACATAAAGTAACATATGTACAGTAAATGCGGTTGTGGTTTGGTATGAAATGTTCTATTCCATGAGAACATCTGGAACATTCTTTCACTAATTGTTTGTCTGGTTGCTAGGTGGTTTCAGTTAGATAATAGGCCAGAGGCGTGTCTTGATATAATACATTAAGTTGTGAGACCAGTTTAGGCATGACAATGCCTCAGGCACGTACTAACTCTTGTGCTACAATGTTGCTCAACAACCCTTGACAGAATGTCACAGTTCCTGCAGTTTTTTTTCCTGCAGTGCAAGACACAAAAATCATGCAAAAGTTCATATAAAGCAGTTTTTAATGACAGAGTTCAAAATAAATAAACATTTATATATACAAACATACATACAAAAGATTCTTCTGCATTTCACTTTTACATGTTAATTTACTTCTTCAGACACAGGAAAGTTTCCCCATAAAACTTGTATCGTTGTATTATTAAGTGTAATGTGCAAATTAAAATCAAATAAACATATAGTAAACATTCACATTTCACTGCCTCGGCAGCATGTGCAAACTAGCAAGCACCAAGCAAGATAGTCCATTCAAGTAAGTGATATGTACAACACTGGGGTGCAAAAAGTCGTTTTCGTACTTCGTTGAATCAGCAATTGCATCTAATAAAGACCAGGTAGAAATATGGACCACACAAGTGTCTCAGTCCCATCTTAACACAATGGAGCAACATTTGTCATTCTTCCCCAGGTCCTGTGTACCAGACGGTCTGGGTAGTGTGGGCTTTTGCATGCCAGGTTTTTCGTGATCTGTAGAGTATGACTTCTGACCACGGGCCACACAGAAATACGTTGAGGACTTGGTGTAACGAAGTTCCGCCTGCTTGGCATCACCAGCCGAGGTTCCGATGCCACGTTTTCCACATAAATCTGGTAGTTTTTACCTTTGTTGTTGTCTGTGAGCACCAAGTTGCCGGGTTGGAATACCACTACGAATTCCAGGCGGTCCTTTTGGTTCAGCTCGGACGGTAGAGACACATTAAAAGCATACAATTTGGTCTCCAAAGTTGTATGTTTTTCTCTCACATAAGTGCATGCAATGTCTTTCTGGCTTCGCCATGAGTCAAAAGTTATTCGGACAAAGACAGTCTTGTCACACTTAAAGTTGCAGACCCGTACAGTTCCGCTCAACACCCTTTCGGTCATGCTACAGCTCTCCAACTGCACGAAGTGTGCCTTCAAGCTTGCACGGTCTACAACAGGCTGTGGAAATCCAAGCTTCAGTCGCAGTCTCATGCTCTGTGTGGGCGCTCTAGCCATCACGCGCTCCTCTGGTTGTGGGACATCTTCTGTTTCAGTCTCCGATGGGTCCACGGTGAAGATGCGCACGGAGGAGAGAGCGAGGCCTTTAGCATCAGCAAATACGACTCGCTTCTTCTTGCGGAGCGTGCTGCTTCCAGGAGAGTACGAGGACAGGGAGCTGCCAGAGCCGGAGGAAGACAGTGAAGATGTTGGGGAAGGAGGCGAAAGTCTGGCTCTTAGAAGCTCCGGTGAGGGCATGTTGGATGAAGAGGGCCTGAAAGAGGACATGCCAAGGAGCTGAGACACCGGTGGGCTAACTTGCGCATGCATGGCCAAATCCACTGGCATCACAACCTCAGGGAAAGAGTAACTGCTGAATCCATATGGTCTGTGAAAACACATGGAGAAAAAGCTATGTTAGACAATTCTGACAAGTTTGAGATGACATTGAAAATATAATCAAATCTAATTTAAACCTGGAAATTCTGCACTCGTTTGTTGATTTAAAAAATAAATAAATAATATATTAACTATACACTCTTAAAAATAAAGGTTCTTTATCGGAATCTACGATCTCATGAAGAAACTTTAACATCCACATTCCCAAACAAGGTTCTTTATGGTGGAAAAAGGTTCTTGAGATTTTTAAAATGTTATAAATAATAACATTTTCACAAGTGGTTCCAGACAATGTGGAACAATGTGACAAAGTTTTGTGATCAAATATCCGAAAATCCATTTGAACCCAAACTGTAACTTAACTGAAGCAAATAATCTACTTTCTGTAATAGGCTATCACATGCATTCTGTTGTGCAATGAACTACTCAACTTACTTTGTGATGCTCATTTTTGCTCAGATGAACGTCAGATGAAGAGGATTGTTGATAGTGAAATGTCTGCTGGAAAAGAAGAAGAAGAAAAAACCTAAGTAAAAGTTGAAGTAAACACTGACTGTAGTAGGCTAGGTCTTCAATGTTATAACATGCAGAATTATTTGAAAGCCCTTATCTTACCTATCAATGAAAGATGCGCTGAAATGTATTTTCCTTTAACTTTTCAATGTAGAAACGCGGTCACTGCCAAAGAAATGTACTGCAGAAGAATGAATGAATGAGGCATTTATATTTCTTCCTTTTTAAAGCGTTTTAAAGCGCACTCAGGCCCGCCCACAGTAAAGGCCCTCCCCAAATCTGTTATAGGCTACTCATATCATGCGTGTGCTCTCTCTCTCTCTCTCTCTCTCTCTCTCTCTCTCTCTCTCTCTCTCTCTCTCTCTCTCTCTCTCTCTCTCTCTCTCTCTCTCTCTCTCTCTCTCTCTCTCTCTCTCTCTCTCTCTCTCTCTCTCTCTCTCTTACATTAACACATAGCCTACATTTAACTGAGAGAGACATACTGGGCTACATGGGTACACACACACACACACACACACACACGCACACGGCTGGGCCACAGAAAACTTTTTTTTAATTTTATTTTTTTATTAATTTATTTGACAGGGACAGTGTACATTAATTAGCATTGCTGCAAATGCACCAGAATTAGCCAAAAGGCTATTTTTCATCCGTTGTCCCTGGACAGATCTTAACATTGTCTGCCTAAAACACAATAAGAAGATTACAGTGAACAATACAAATATAAAAAGCAGTAAAACAGATATAACTCTTCAAATCCTGTTGATAAATACAGTGTACAAGTTTGCTCTAAAAAAAATTAAAATATACACATTGACACAGCAGAGACACAAGTGGCAGCAGGTTGGGTTGAAGGAAGATACATATTCTTATTAATGCTGACATGTCTGATGTGTTATGAACCAGTTTTTTAGATGCTTTCTGAACAGAGTGTATGTGGTGAGTTCTCTGATGTACTGAGGGACAGAGCACCTGGGCGATCGCAGGCTAAGGTACGAAACATATGGTTATGTGGGGTAGGAAGAACGTCTGACTGGCTAATGCCACGGGGTTAGAAAAAAACAATGTGTAAGAGTTTCATGAATTGACTATGTATATATTTACCTTGGTTTTTCGTTGTTTTCTTCACACTTCACATCTCATTTTCTTTTATCTAAGGAATGTTCATCTGTTGTCTTCTTGGCGAATAAGCACACTTACATTTGAAAAACTTTATTAGGGTGCAAATTTGTTGGGACAATTCATGTAATTTCACTCAATAAAAAGATAATCAGTTCTAAATAAACCTCTTTGACATTACAGGACCATAGTTAAAGAATCACCCACATCTTCCATATATGTACATAATATGTGAAATAAATTCTTTGGCTATATTTAAAATAATGACTTCTCTTGAATTTTCACAATACACAATAGGGCCAATAGTTTACCCACACAATGCATGATTGCATAACATTACATCATTTGGATTAGCTAAACTAAACAATTAATATAAAATAGGTAGATGTCATTTGATTGGGTATATTATTATTAAATATATATCAAATATTATTATATTTGATTGAAGCTATATTTGAGGTCACTGTAAAATGCAGATAAGCACATGTGCATAATAATATAAATGACGCTGTGGTCACAAGTAATGAGTTGTCATTTTATAAGAAACACTAAAATTACTTATGTATATCACAAGCTAAATAAGGCATGTTGCATATTTGGAGTTTGAAATTAGGTCATTTCAGTTTACAGGCCTGTTATAAAGTTTAGGTGATCTACTGGCAGGAGGATTTGAGTTATAGAGAACACACAAATCTCCAAAAGCTCTGGAAAAAACCTCACCCTATTAGAATGAGAACGTAGTATGATGATCTAAACGTTAATTACTCTTATTTTTTCCATTGTGTATCTGCAGTTGTGTGAGGACTGGTTGCTAAGTTTTGATTATATAAAAATTGTTACCAAGATTCATGCTCAAATGCAATGCTAAATTGAATGCTTACATAATATAAATATTGTGATGAATGTAAGCAGCAAGTCTTATTGAATTCTTATTGTTACATTTTCAAAAGCTCACACAGTAGAGCAAAGTAAAGGCTACTGATAAAATGTATATATTGAATGCAATGTAAGTCGTTTAAGGGTACGTTTACACGGCAACGATTCATAAACAGAAAAGTTTATTCCTTTGCATTTTCCAGGCAACACCATTGTTAAAACAATCTCCGTTCACAAGGATCCACGAAATCAACTAAAAACGCTGTATTATTCATGCCAGGCCAGTAGTTGGCGACATGGAGACGATACCGGTATCGTTTTCAAAAACTTGCACTTTGAAACCTGTTTTCAAAAGTTTGCGTTTTCAGGCCCCCAAAACACCGCTGTTGGGTAAATGAACGGCCAACATGTGTAAAAAGTTTTATGTTTTTAGTCGAAAGCTGTCATGTAAACGGTCCCTAAGATAAAAAAAAGAAAAGCATTTATGTCAACTTTAAAACATGATTATAGTGATTACTTTTCTAATGAGCTAATTTCTACAGTAAAGCAAAGGATAAAATTCACATTTTTCTTTTTTATTTACATTACACCTGCAAACAAAGGATTGGCAGATAAATATATAATAAAAATGTAAGAAATCAAGACATTTATTTTTGTATGTCATCAAAACTGTCACTAGGGACTCTGGCTAAAATAGGTTGGTATTACAAAGACATTGTGAATAGCTCCACAGAAACATGATTAATGTGGTGACTTCATGTTGAAAACATCATTGTGGCATTTGTAAACTGGGTGAAATCATCTCTTGACGTTGGAACAGAAATCTGACACATTGAGCTGAATCAGATGTGCTTAAATCAGTGAGTGTAGAGAGATTAACTAGAAAATCTGCAGTATTAGGGTTAGTGCAGGTAACTATCTTCTGATATGAACTGTGTTCATATATGGTTTCCTATATGGAATTGATCCTGTAAACAAGAGGAACATCTAAGATCCAAGACTGACAACATTTTGCATAAAATGCAAAATTGTATACAGTTTTTAATTATAATTAAATGAATTAATTATTATATTATTGCTGATTTGAAATATTTGAAAGCAGTTTTTCACATGCTCACATTGAAAATGTCAGGCACAACATGCCTTTATTTAAAACTTTACAACAAAACAAAAGCTGTGACTTCAGTATAGAGGTGTGTACATTCTTGTTTCATAACATCACAATAAGGCGAATGATAAGTTAGGTGGATCTTGCATATGGTTGTGCAACCAAGACCTCTAAGTTCCCATCCAACAAGTTTCACCCACTCCTTATGACTTCTGTCCCTAGGTTTGTTTATTATTGTTTATTATTTAGATCCCCATTAGCTACTCCATTAAGCAGCAGCTATTCTTCCTGGGGTCGTAACAATTTGTAACAAAATATTAACATCAAAGCTGTACAACAATAAAGACAAATACAGAAGTGCACACAACATCATATAAGTCATCAAACTCACACACACACACACACACAAAACACATACACTCACCGGCCACTTTATTAGGTACACCTGTCCAACTGCTCGTTAACACTTCATTTCTAAGCAGCCAATCACATGGCGGCAACTCAGTGCATTTAGGCATGTAGACATGGTCAAGACAATCTCCTGCAGTTCAAACCGAGCATCAGTATGGGGAAGAAAGTTGATTTGAGTGACTTTGAACGTGGCATGATTGTTGGTGCCAGAAGGGCTGGTCTGAGTATTTCAGAAACTGCTAATCTACTGGGATTTTCACGCACAACCATCTCTAGGGTTTACAGAGAATGGTCCGAAAAAGAAAAAACATCCAGTGAGCGGCAGTTCTGTGGGCGGAAATGCCTTGTTGATGCCAGAGGTCAGAGGAGAATGGCCAGACTGGTTCGAGCTGATAGAAGGGCAACAGTGACTGAAATAACCACTCGTTACAACCGAGGTATGCAGCAAAGCATTTGTGAAGCCACAACACGCACAACCTTGAGGCGGATGGGCTACAACAGCAGAAGACTCCACCGGGTACCACTCATCTCCACTACAAACAGGAAAAAGAGGCTACAATTTGCAAGAGCTCACCAAAATTGAACAGTTGAAGACTGGAAAAATGTTGCCTGGTCTGATGAGTCTCGATTTCTGTTGAGACATTCAGATGTTAGAGTCAGAATTTGGCGTAAACAGAATGAGAACATGGAACCATCATGCCTTGTTACCACTGTGCAGGCTGGTGGTGGTGGTGTAATGGTGTGGGGGATGTTTTCCTGGCACACTTTAGGCCCCTTAGTGCCAATTGGGCATCGTTTAAATGCCACGGCCTACCTGAGCATTGTTTCTGACCATGTCCATCCCTTTATGGCCACCATGTACCCATCCTCTGATGGCTACTTCCACCATGTCACAAAGCTCTAATCATTTCAAATTGGTTTCTTGAACATGACAATGAGTTCACTGTACTAAAATGGCCTCCACAGTCACCAGATCTCAACCCAATAGAGCATCTTTGGGATGTGGTGGAACGGGAGATTCGCATCATGGATGTGCAGCCGACAAATCTGCGGCAACTGTGTGATGCCATCATGTCAATATGGACCAAACTCCCTGAGGAATGCTTCCAGCACCTTGTTGAATCTATGCCACGAAGAATTGAGGCAGTTCTGAAGGCAAAAGGGGGTCCAACCCGTTACTAGCATGGGGTACCTAATAAAGTGGCCGGTGAGTGTATACACTAAACATAACAACATAATATCACAATGGAAGCTCTTCTATGTACAAAATATTACCACTCTCTGGGTATAATATAAAATATGAAAATCACATTTCAATTATCATAGCTCATTATCCAGTCATTATTAATTACATAATTACAGTTACTCCAAAGTAAATAAATACAGTCTCAATCTTTTGGAAAAACTAACATTGGGACTCTGAGACCAAAAATAACGGGAGCGAGTTCCATGCCACCATTGCTCTATAACACGATGTTCTTTGAAGTTGATTTGTTCGACAGGCAGGTAACAAGAAACGCCCTTCACTTGATTGACGAGTGGAATAGGAATGAACGTCACTGAAGAATGTCAATCTTCTATAAATAATTTCAGGTGCTTTAGTAATAGTTATATTTTTTAAGAATTTAATAAGAGAATAATTAATTCTGCTTCTTACATGAAGCCATGCTAACTGATTGTGCATG